ATGTCCCTGTCTTGAGACCCAGTTTGGGCGTTTTCTTTCACTTTTTCTCTTTACGTTCGTACCACTTTTCACCTACAACTTCCATATAGGTGCTTTTAGCCCGCAAATTCGTTCCTGGACTGTTGCTTTAATGTACTGTACATATGGGCAGGACGAGGATCAGGGACACTGCCGCCTAAGCTGAGTAATCGAAAATTAGGTGGGCCAGACAAGTAGTGTGGTTTTCCAGACCAGAGCGATGACCGTATGAATCCCTTAAAGCATTAAACGGACACCAGGAGTGCCCGCTTGATGATGAGACTTCCTCACACATCTCTAAACGAAAGGAATGATCACATTTGTGTCCCTCAAACTAAGAGGACCTATTGGAGTAATCTTGTACGCGACAGAGACAAATGAAAACGTTCCTGGGCCCGCTCGAGGAAGGCAATGAGGAATGGGACGACAAGTGATACGGGTGACCTATGGTGAGGTCGAGTCTCTTAGGATTTCCCCCATACGGCAGCCAAACAATCAAACTGAATACATATTGTGGAAACACATACAGTGCAACAAAACGAGAAGTGGGAAAATGCATGCTGAGGTTTTTTGCAGGCATGGAACGACTCTCAGACGACAGAAATCCCACGGGTTTTGTATTAATTAATAGAATACGGTGAATAAAATCAGGCTTAGGAAATGCCGACTGTTGGCGCGAATGGCTCTCGTTTAAAAGTCGACTATAGCTCGCTAACAGTTTGAGTACCACCCCTCCCCCCCCCCCGTTTTCGTCCTACTTTACTTCACGTTTGGGGAAGAATAAACCTTATAAAATGAAGGAAGATATAGTGATAAGAAATAGGACAATAAAGAAGTGGCTTGGTTAGCCTCCACCTAAGACGAACCACTGTCTAACGTCACTAAGCCAGGAGCTATCGATGGTAAAATTTCAAACAAAAATGTCTTCAAGTGGATCAATTAACATGACTGAATTCAACAGCAAGACGATCTGCTGGGTTACGGATCGAAATTGTTGCAAGCATGATGGAAGCCCTTTTGCGACTTCAGCTAGAAAATTCAAGGGGTCAGTTTGGTACCAGAATTGTCTAGGGGAATAAAAACACTGATTCGTACATCGGCTGGCCCCTGTAAGTCACTGTATAGGTCAAATCGCATTCAAGCTTCCACTACGAATGTACAAATGGAAGTATGTATGCCACATCCCAAAAAGGATTGATCACCGGCAAATGCTTCATCATTCGTACTTTACTAGCTAGCAAACCAGCATGAATGTAGCGGATTACTACGTGTGGTCGGCATTGAAGCTGAAGGATAACAGAAAGCAACACAGATGTGCCACTGGAAGCCATCCAGTGAGAGACAAGACATGAAATTTAGAACGATGTCATTTGGGCAGGAATCGAAATCAGAATGAATCATTCAAAAAGTGGAACATTTTATGAGTGGCCCATTGAATAAAAATTTAGGGCTACTTCTACTAAAACGTTGTTCGACATTGTTAAGGCTGACAGTCTGCTCCGACCACTCAGGTTAACCTCCCCAGCAAGACTTCGAATTTTGTCTACGAGAACTTGTGCAACATTCGGTATGGCGGGCTGTAGAATGAACACCACAACATGAACTACTGAGAAAGGGCAAGAAGAAAGTGTGAAAGATCTTATGAACAACTGAGTAGTAATATATGAAATGAAGCTAAACGATTGCGCATGAAACTACCTGGTATTCTCCATCCGTCACTGACACTGCTGCTAAGCCATCAGAGCGCACGTAGCAGTGACAAAAGTACTCATTCTCCTTTACAGTGCTGCGGGCCCAAGCCCTGAACGTTCCACGAGCAGTTTGCCAGTGAATTGCATAAACTCCTAAAAATGGTAACATCAAGAAGTAAGGTCCATATTATCCGGAAGAAGGATGAATAGCGGCGTATTAGCAGTGATGTCGCCCAATAGGATTTTGAGGTTTGCGACATGCAAACTGACCTGAACAGATCCTCTTTGGAAAAAGCTGAATGAAGAGAGATCAAAGGCTGATTTGAGTCGCACAGTCCCATCACTAGCTTGTGGTAAAATTAATATCGAATACAGCTTCATTTTCCAACTGACCTATCATAATGTGATGAATAAATTGTGGAACCATAAATTCATGGAGAACCACGAGCCTAAGGAACAATGGACACTTTGACCACTGAGAATCAAAGACATGTAGATAAAATAGAACATGTTTTATTCAAATAAAGATGCATCACGAATCAATCACAACATCATAGCAACGGATGACAACAAGTAATAATAAAATGAAGGCAATATTCAACACATCCACAGAAGAGAAAGGGCACATTCATAACTTCATTAACAATACAAATTAAATAAGGTACCTGTACCACGTGGTATATTAGAATTTTTACAACGGCAGGCTCTCAAATTATGAAATAAACTATCCCAAAATTTGCTTTAATATCGACTAGAATATGAAGGTTGGCTCATAAGCTTTGTCACATATTCGTTTTCAGCTTATTTGGAGTAATGAACATTTCACCAGACTGACTTGGAGAAAACAGTTTCCGACATAACATTGTGGCAATTTAATGAACTAGTTCGACTGTTGGGTTTTATGAGGAGCTTCCCTCTCGAGGCGCGCAATTGTGAGGATAGCCTTTCCACATTATGTGAGCCAAACCAATGCTCAACGAGGATGCACCTGATTATTGCAGTTTTCAAGAATCATTCCGAACTATTGTTCGGTTATTTTGAATTCTTTTAGGACGAACTATTCGTCCCTCTTTATGATGGATAACATTTGAATCCTGATGAGGCTCCGGAACAGCGCAATAATAAGAGGTCTCAGAAGCATCATTTTGATAGCATAGACCACGAGTCCTCAAACTGAGTTCACGCTGAAAGTCACATCCGAGACAACTGTACTGAATACCATGCCATGACAGTTAGGAAACGATAAATACACAAAACTACTCAAAATACAAACTACGCTTAATATAACATGCAATAGTAGCAAAACTCCGTAAATTTGAGGTAGATCGATTTTTTTCCAACTTCAGTTGGGTATGAAATGGAATTGGGATACCGAGGGGGTTAATCAACGGCGAATTAGTACACCATCACCCTTCGACGTAACGACACGACGGGAACCCATCACAGCAAACACCAACCAAGAAATGCCAACATTAATATATTATCAATATTAACATCAATATACTTGAGGACTACTTAAACTCTACGCAGAGAAGCCAACAGGATATTCAGCACAGCCTCACACACAAGATGAGGACGGTTTAATGAGCATTCCAGGATGTCAGAGAAATGGTGGAAAAGAGCTACGATATTCCACGATCGATTTCGGGTGTTGGGGGTAACCTTAAATCTCAATGCCCAACTAGTACGAGCTCTGGAGATACGATTCATGAATTTTTTTTGCTCAATCAACCAACATCAATCAAACTAACAATCAGCTTCTGCAAAAGACCTCATAAAACCTGCGCAATGCCTTGAGGTCAGAATCGATGGGGAATTCTGTTGCGAGCTGAAAGGAAGCAATCCAAAAAATGGTACACTCACTTCTTCAATCCATACCAAAATGGAGGTGTACTGTATGGTTATGCGTATCTACCTGTTAGCTCTTCTGTGGGTGCCATACAGCGGAACAACATGCATCCATCCCCATCTGCGGCCGGGAGAGAAATGCCGGTGAAGATTCGCGCCACAATACAAGTTTTGGAGTGGGCTTCTGGACGTGTTTACAAATTAAAAAAAGGGTCAGCCTCCATGATCGACCAAGGAGCGTTTACTGTGCCCAAGCCCACAAGGAAACTTACACTTACGAGCCAACCTGAATCATCTCAACCAACATTTCTTTGGGAAGACAAAAAGAATAAATTTCGAATGACCTATGAAACAAAATAAGGCCCATCACACGTAGCTACAACTACCCCTTTTCTAAACAGCTGTCACGTTAACAACGGCTCAATAGCCACATTCCATTTCCGCTCGAATTCCTTCTCACTGATCTGCTTACTGATGCTCGCGCAGCTTCGCGTACAGCATCACGCTCCAACTGCGACATTTCCACAATGTGCAAGATTAGCCTCACATATTCTGAAAAATTTTGGTATGCTCGCTTGTATGCGATTTTCACGTTTATGTGACATTTCCCAGTAATTCCTTTACATGCGCCAGACAATGAGATCATTTAAACAAGGATTCTTGAAACCTCCACGAGTAGAAATTAAGATGCATACATGTTTATCTTACTTACCCTCTTTCGTCGCTGCCAGGAAGCCTATTGGCTGTGTTTCTTTTTTGCCATCTATGGGCAGTACGATGTCCATTTGCGGACCACCTGTGAAACAAAGAATGTTGATGAGAATAGAACCCTTATGGGATCACTTTTTAGATCAAAACGGAGAAAACGTAGAATAAGACGTCGTGAAAGCAATACATGAAAGGATAGATCAAGCCTGACCAAAGGTCGTATACTGTTCAAACGGGATCAATTGGGATAGAGATTCGCAACGACGGATGATGTTTCGTTCACAGCTTTACTCTGTACACAGGCTTTTTCTAGCGATTACTGATACTTTGTTTGAATTCGCTGAGAATCGATCGGAGTTTTTTCTATATTATTGAGCACACTGTATTTTTGAATTTTCTGAAATACACATATGTACCCGCGCCGATAGTGGTTCTGCATATTTTGAGGAGTAATACGAATAACGAACGTTTTGTAATGAAATGTACGGTTTCGATTCGTCGAAGGGCAGTTGCCAACCGGAAGGGTTGGTGATCAGCGTCTTGCACCGTCACCTAAGCTCTCGGCACATGCACACACGCTCTCTTTCCTTTCCTCGAGGGCTTAATCATAAGAAAAGCACAAACTGTAGGCCTTCTGCCTAGACTCGCACGTGTTGGTTGACAACTGTCCCGTAAACTTTGATCGGGACAGTGGGTTCTGAGTCTGTACATCAATTAATTTGCCAGAGGGCAAGACATGGAAGAGAAATGAACAGTGGGGAGAAAAAAAATAGCGGTACCTCATATTAAATGAGAGAAACATAGAGGACTTCAAAAGACATGAACACCACTGAACAAAAGCTGACAAACTAACCAGAGTCATGTGCCAGCATTATTGTCCCAGCGGCCATTCCCTCAACGACAGAAATACCGAAATGCTCATTCCACATTGTATGGATTGAGATCAGCGACTCCTAAAAGACATTTGTGGAAACTGGAAGTATCACTACTGCTGTCCGACGCTTATTACTGTTTTTCTTAATTTCACCTGCTACCAAATGCAAGATCTCAACACAATAATACATAGATGAATAATCAAAATTACCTCACAAACAACTGTTGAGCTTCATCAAGAATATGCAAAAGAAGAGCTTGAAAAACGCTTAAGCCGTTTTCAAAGAAAGGAGAGGGAGAATGAAGCGGATGAGGACTACAAAAATAAGAAAGAAAACATGTGAAGCAGAAGAATTACCGATAGTAGATCAAGCAGTTCCTCATAAGGAACATTGAGCTTCCAGTCCACATTTGAAGCTATTCCCCACTCCGCACTCAAATCCTTAAATATTAGATTTTAGGGAACTGTTAACGATTCCTTCAACTTGAAACCAAAAGAGGTAAGCCTACCTTTAAAGTTTTGACACGTGCATAGTCCTCATGATTTCGGCAACCGCCTGCGATGGTCAATTTGATCTGAAAATAATTCTAGATTAAATTTAAGACCAAGTTCAAACAAAACAAGAATTAGAATAAGTTGAAAAAATACATCTGTGAGATCCAAATGTTCGAAAAAAGTAAGCATAAAGAATGAAACAAAAAAAATAAAGCTAGCAGGACTAGATCAAGATTGTATTGTCATTTGAATGTTATAGACAGAGGAATTTCGGCAAAGCTCGGCGTTCCTGTTTGGAAACAGGATTCGACGCTTGAGATCGCTGAGAGATACCGCGTAAGAACACCCATCATCGAGACAGCGTCGCAACCAGCAAATCATGCCTTCCCTCTCAGCCATACCAGAGGATAACATTTGGGTAACTAATTGTACCACTGTGTTACCCAATATGGTCCGGGAGGGAAACCTGCCCGAACCACACAAGCAAAAATTTCAAACTCCTTGTAGATCATCAAAGATGAGCTGCATCATGGCCTATCTCAGAACATCGAAGTTCAGGGTCGGCCAGGTGATACGACTGTGATGGTCGCTGCCATGGAGTGGTTCATGATTGACTTAATCTTGACAACAGAAAAACAGCACGACTCAATCGAAAACTAAACACAGCCGAGATGGAACGTTGCACTTACAAGGAAGGGTTTTCAGGATGTACACCACTTTTTCGAAGCGATTTTTTGCATGGTATAGAAAAAGTCAACCACAGAGCCATTACTCACCGTTCCTCAGCGGCCCCCTGTTTACCAGAAAAGGTGTGAAGAAGAGGCCCACGGTTCTATTCCCCGTCGTGATAAGCTTTAGCATTTTGAGTTGACCTCTCAAGATTCGCACGAAATGGCGTCAGCGCCAAGAACGGACACCATATTCACTATCAGAACAATCAAAAATCATCACAGGTAGGCTTTTACGAAAACTTGTTGAAAAAAGTTGTGGAGCCGAAACGCCACCAAAGTGCCGCCGAATAGCCTCACACATGAGAACGAAATGACGTCGACACGAGAAGTGAATTCATGTTTGTAATCAAGACATTGGATAAGCCTCACTGTGAAGGAAATTGAAAATTAGACCTAACTTCGAACAAGCCGGTCATTACTAAGGCTTCGCCAAGCGCGACATACAACTTGGAGGCTAACTCCTCGTCATGAGAAACGCGATTCTCAGCCTTCTCCTTCTATTAGGCCTGTTGTTTATGTCCTGTATAATCTGTGTTGACATACTTCTTTGATGAACTCTATGCCCTACCCTGGACAGTCCCCTTACTCCTACGCGCCTTCTGGAGATGTTGGTGAACCTTCTAAGCCGGTACCCGGAGCCGCAACCTCCTCCTGCGGCTTGTATCTTAGCGGCCATTGTCCTTCCACTCCACGAAAATGGGCCCACCCGCTCTTCTTCTGATCAATGCTTTTTGATGCTTTTTCCTTTTCACTGTGTACACTTTTCCACTAAACCATAACTTATTTAACACACTGGCGATAGCGCGGGGATATATATCCGTGCGAGGGATATGTTTCCCGAACCCATTCCATTATTTTTTTTTCGCAGATGCACGATTTCTTCCGAAGTTTTTTGTTTCTGTTTTATGGATCGTACATTGATATAAATATAAACGTTGCGGTCGTGAATAAAACTGGAAATGGCCTGAACGTCTGAATGTTCTGAATCTGAATGCTCGGCCAAACGTTGAGACTGATAAATTTGCGATGTTGTAAGAAGTTCCAACTTTATAGTAGAAAAACGCACATGAACACTTTTCAACAATGTATTCAATTCGATCCATTTTGTAACCCTAAATAGGCGTTTAGTCAATCGAAACTTCTGTTGGAGGAGCCAAATTGTTTGTGTTTTTATCATGTAAGCTAACTTACTTAGTCACCGCTCTCTAAAGTCTTTCATACGGTCGAGCTTCCAAAAATAGGACTTGTTGGACCGTGCGGGGGATATGTATACCGCGACAAAAGCGGTCGCAAAGGCGTGTCGGTCCCACATGGCCAAAAACACAAAAATCGCATTGTCGTCAATGTGTTAATTTCTACGTTTACTATACCTATGTAAAATCGTTCTTTTACTTTGGCGTAACATGTATGATTGATTTTGTAACAAAGTTGTAAACAAATAAATAATAATAAATAAAAAAAAAATAAATAAAATAAATAAATAAATAAATATCCCATCTCAGAACTTCAGAGATTGCAGTTTCCGGAGTGGAATTTTCTCCTCTTCTACGGTACTCGGGAAGCCGTTTGAGGGAAAAAGAATAGTTCTGTGCGCCATGCACGGGTTTCTTTACCACACGAAAAACCGCTTCAAAAACAAGAAAAAAAAACAAGTAATCACCAGGAGCAAAACTTTCGACACACGATTCACTACGTCACCCACAGAAAAAAGAAAAATTATTAAAGCACAACCCATGCAGAAGTCGTGTGAGCGATTTCCTTCGGTACATAGGATAGACCCTAAGAGGACAATCACAGATGTTCCAATACCGTGCACGGAAATCACCCAACAAGAACGCTAAGGATTTGGAAGAGCCGTAGGGCCTTGCAAGAGCTGCTGCAGCTGCAACATTTTCTTTTATCAGACAGTTGTCTGGCGCACTCTCATCTGTTGCGCTGTCTCGCCTCTTACTCCCCTCTTCGCATTTTGTTTCTCTTTACCCTAGCAAACCCTATTGCGGAGGTGAGCAGGGCCTTAATCTACGCGTTTTCGTCAGATTCTTTCTCGTTACTGCCGGCCATTTCGCAAAAATATATGCGTACTCGTGTGCAAGAACCACAAAAATTTAATCCTGGGGCATGCCTTCAGAGCCCGAACACCGCACAATTCGTTCGTATGTTTACTTGCAAATCTCCTGGGTGCGGTAGCTAAAGGCTAGCACAGAATGACAGCAGGGTGTACAGCGAACTCTCGCTCTTTCCACAGCTGCATTTAGTGCCAAACGGTAATAGAAATCTATTGGCCGATGTCAGACTTTGCGATTGGAGCGATTTTGCACCAATCGCAAAAGTCTGACATCGGCCATTGTAATGTACATTTACGGAAAGTACGCCTAAAAATTGTAATACAGATTTTTTACTCTTATAATCTATTCACTCCTTAACACGTTGGGGACCGTGTGGTATGATGTCATACCACACTTTCACATGGAGCAGACTAGTTTTCCCTAATTTATTTGGCGTTTTCATGTTCTACAACGATCCACGTACATTATTGGAACCAGAAAACAATTTTTTTCAGTACTGGACTGAAGGATTGATGCCTACTGATGAGAGAATACGACAAATATCGAAGCAGTACGCGCACAACGGCGGTCGTCAACGTGTTAACTAAACGAAGCTCACCTTGGTTCGATCATTACTCTCGGCCAATTTTTTCGTAACCATTCGTAGAACTTCCAATTGCATTTTATGGTTTTTTTCTGGTCGAATTTGGCCGATAGATAAAATTCGGAGCACTTTGTCCTCGGCAAATCTTGAAAAAATCATATTTATTTATTGATTCACCATATGATAAATAAAGTAGAATAAATATATAAATATATAAATAAATATAAATAAATAGATATTGATAAATAAATAATAATAAATAATTAGATACTAAAATAAATAATACCCAATAATTAGTTCATATCGTAAGTTGCGAACCAAATTATCTTTGGCAGCAACTAAATAATTAGAATGCATATCACAACCATGAGTGACCGAAAACATTCCCGAAACCATTACCAGATATAAGCGAACAAAAAACTCCAAGTCTCTTCGTGCAATTTAACTTCTAGGAATTTTTTTCCAGACAAACAATGTCACGATGCCCATTTGCAGTGAAATATCAGGCGCGAAGCTTCATTCAGAATAACGCAACACGACTGCAATTTGAGAACCAAGTCATTCTTAAAATTTCGATCCGTGTATGAAGTGACCCTGTCGTAGAGGAACCGATAACCAACTGAGCTAATGAAGAGTTATCACTTCACAAATCAGAAGTTTTGCTTCGATCAAAGAAATCTAGTGATATCATGGATGTACCTTTCCGTAAAATGTAAACATGTTGTGGTTAAATCGGGCCAGATCAAGTAACCCTAGCACTTCGACCATCCCGCGAGACTAAGGAGCCAGAAGTTTGGAACAGAAAGCACTTTGAACCAAGAGATCGCTAATGGAAAGTTCTTTTCTAAGTTGGCTAGAGGCATTTTTGATGCCACAGAACCTGGACAATCCCTTTCGTATTTTTATAGTCGGGGAATAGCAAAAAAAACAATAGTTAAACAGTAAACTGTCCGCAGTGAGGATTGGACCAACACAACAGAAAGTATGCTAGGAAGCAGCGGGAACTGCCTGGCTACTAGAACTAACCTCGCTTCGCGCTATTGGCTCGAGTTGCCAGAAAAGTTCTGTAACACCACATGGTGGAATAGACGACTTCACAGCTTGAGCCTAATGGCCATAAACGTCCCTAATACTGACCGCCAGTGCCAGCTGAATGTGAAGCGCATTAAGGAAGTATAGCGAAACAGGATAAGGAGAAAAATGAGCTTTCTTTCTTATAATATTGAGGTCGTTCGAGAATATGGACTTTCCAATATGATCACAGCTCACGCCAATATACTCCATAATCAATCGCATCAGCACTTCAGATACCGGTCGAAGCAAGGCTGTGCCACAAGGAAGACCAAAGGGGCTGAATGCAGAACGCCCTGACATGGTATTGCGAAAATTAGGTATGTCACCATTTTCTGACATGTGAGCTATACATCTGCGCTCCTATATCACAGTACCACCTCGAAATTGTTAAATCTGAACTTCACAAAGTGTTTCTGGAAACAATCTACAGCAAAACGTGTAGATTTTGGTCGCAAATGTCGAACACAACATCAAAACTCTTCATTAACCAACAAAGTTCCAGGTTGAAAATGCAAAGAAAATTTAAATCCTAAATTTTCCAAAAAGCGTCGCTTTTCCATCGTCTCCAAATGATACAGCCACCCCGTGTTTCTTCGTTGCATTTCATTTCTGATCATGAAACTGATTGGCAGTCCTCAATTGTTCTTTCTTAGGTTATCAGGAAAGGAAAGCAACTATTGGACTTCGAAAAAGGGCAATTTGTCACAAAAAAAAGAAAAAATTGAGCGTCAGGTGGTCACATTGCGCGAGACTATAGTCGAAATTACGGAATGATTAGCAATTCCTTCTTGAGTCCTGTACGACATGGAACTCAGAAGAACTCTGGACGTTATTCCTTGCTTTTTTGATTAAAATAAACGCGACATTATGAGAACAGCACCCATTTTCACCAAGGCGTGCTCGGAAGTTGAGTATTCTTTGAAACTTAATCTATTACGAATAGTGGTGGGTATGCAATGAATAACTTCCAAGATCGATCTTTAGCGGAATTTGAGAAAGACGGTGATTTTGAAAAGAAGTCGTCGCGGAAACCAAGTCCTTTTTGCAAGGGAAGTCTGACCAAGCCAACCGGAGCAGATTTTTGGCCTGTTCTGTTTCACTTCTTATCTGTCATCCTTTTACGCTTTTGGCTCCAGATGGTTTCGTCCTGGAGGAAAGCTTTCATGAGAAAAAACTCGAAGGTAAAGCAGTTACGAAGTAAAACAGAACAGCCCGAAAATGGATCCTGATCCGGTTGGTTTGGTCAAAATTACCCTGCAAAAATAACTCGGTTTTCGTAGCGGTTTCTTTTCAAAATCACCGCTTTCCTCACATTCCGCTAAAGAACGATCTTGGAAGTTAATGAGTACATACCAAGCACTACCCAGTGAGAAATTAAGTTTCGAAGAAGACCCAACCTCCGAAGACGCCTTGGTGAAAATCGGTGCTACTCTCATAATGTCGCGTTTATCTTAATCAAAAAGCGAAGGACAGCGTTCGGAGCCCTTCCAACTTCCATTTCCTACAGAATTTAAAAAGAAATTGCTGATCATTCCGTAGTTTCGACTAGAGTCTCGCGCAATGTGACCACCTGGCTCTTAATCTTTCTTTTTTTGTGACGATTTCTCCTTTTCCGAAGTCCAACAGTTGCTTTCCTTTACTGATAACCTAAGAAAGAACAATTCAGGACTGCCAATCAGTTTCATCGATCAGAAACGAAATGCAACGAAGAAACACGGAGTGGCTGTATCATTTGGAGACGATGGAAAAGCAACCCTTTTTGGAAAAATCAGGATAGAATTCTTTTGCATTTTTAACCTGGAATTTTGTGTTGATTTTCGAATTAGCGACCAAATTTGACACAGTTTTCCTGTTGGACATTTTTCCAGCAACCTTGTTGAATTCAAGATTTTGAACAATTTCTAGGTGGCTGTATAATTAAGAGACGCAGTGTATTGAGTGGGTAAAGAAACACAGGAAAGGTTGCAAGAGGGAAATTGTGTCAGTGCGTCACATGAGAATTTGGTCTATTTTCTCGTGCTATGAGTCTGGTCGCAAACTGTATGATCTATATATATAGTTGCACTATCCGCACATGGACCTTTGTGGCAGTGCTGATGTCAATATATATGAAGACTTACCTCCGCATTCACGCATCAGCGACCTGCTGCGCTGTGAACCACCATAGACCATAGAGAAAACGGCGAAGAACAGACGTATTAGTACAAACAGCTTGGCATTACTGAGCAGATTGTTCTGCACAATAATGTCGGCGCATTGTTATACATGTCCCGCTCTCGTCCGTGACACCCAAATCAAATCACATATCTAACAGCATTAGTCAAAATAGTGACAACTCCCCGCACTTAGTAATGCGAATATCGATAAGAACTTGCCTAGCTACTTGCGCGAACAAATGAAGAGATCCTCACTATGAGAGATTAGTTGGATAGTGGACATATGTAGCAACGCGCTACCTGCTACCGCACTGTAAATGGCAAGAATTACAGGGATAAATGGCGCCAAAAAAACTGAGAGTATTGCTTTACAATTCCGTTTATCTGGCATGTTTTCATGCAGGCTCACAATTGTTGGGATGCCCGTTCTTCGTTGAAGCTTCCACTAAAATAAGCTTTTTGCATGATCTCCGAGAATAACATAAAGCCGGGCGTACTAAGTCGACGGATCTTTTCTCCACCATCGTGACGAGAGAATCGAACCATAATATATTCAACACTGCCTTTTTATTGAGATGAAACCGGTCAAGTCAGTCTTATGGAACGACGACTTCGAATCCCAGCTCTTCCCCGGCCTTCAACATAGAAGACGTGCATCGTGCCATAGTAGTTGGCCAGCCGCGAAACGTACAATTATATACGACAGCTGAGAAACAAAGTCGTCTGCTCCAATACACAGCTAAGGAATTGAATAGGGAGTCAGGTGGCGCCCGGAGCCGCTAGCAATGTCGTAAAAATGAGGTGGATGGAATACGGGTTAGAGAATTCGCTTCGCTCCGAGCTGTCACACGAAACGAAACGTGAGAGCGTCAAGAGGATGGCAAGGTGAGGGTCGGTACAGCTCGCCGACACGTCTTGCGAGTAGCAATGTCAGGCGTTAGTTTCCATTTGCACTACTCACTTTGATGCAATACTTCATCGGCTATTCTCAGGCTCTCCTGTAAGTAATTTGGCAGAGTATTGTATTCCGATGCCGTCCGTTAATCCTTCATCCGGGTTACAAGACGTTCCTATTAGACTTACAAGACTTATCCTTCAGGCGTCACCAACTGCGGAAGATATGTCTCTAGAAATACTTTTACGCAGTCACGTGTGGCATCGTATTCGGCATATGTCTATAGGCAGAATTCAATGGGGATTAGGATCTGAATTGAATCTACCCCCACAGTGAGTAAGATTCCTATATGATCAGCGCATGAAAGGCAAACTCCGAACAAAGTCGCCAGCACCTATCACCACTCAGCAGCCCTGCAACTCTCTTACGTTCTAAGTAGGCAGCGCTGGAAAGGTGCGTTCTCTCTGCAACGCGTCTCGGTCATACAACCATTAATTCTCAACTAACGATTTACAGCGACACGTGAGAGCGCCGGCGAAGACCACACCCGCTCCTCTATCCAATTCCTTTCATTATAATTCATTGTTAAGACGACTATTTCAATAGCGATCAAATTTCAATGCTAGATCGACTGCTAGTGGTAGCATGGCATGTGCTTGCTGGCTGAAGCAGCAGCAAAGCTGTCGCTCAAATATGTTCGCCCACTGAAGCTTGATTCATATTCTGAGTCCAACACCCCTGTTTTCAGTTCAATAAGTTCGAAAATACGAGATTGCTTTTGTTCTATACAGAGAGTACACCCAGTGTTTCCCTACTTTGTATGGCAGAAAGGTTGTGATGTAGGAAATAGTATTGGACATTTCAGTATCCATCAACACCAATAAGCGAGCCGCGGATTGCCGCATTCGCCTGTCTACGTTTGAAACCGATCGTGTTTCTTTCTGGGCGCGCAT